AGGGGTAATTAAGGCAGTTATACACTTCTTGATGAACCAGTGGTAATTATTACAACAGTGTGATTATATACAACACAATGTGCACCCTCAAAAAGTCAACGATTTTCCTGTGAATCTGCACACAGCTGGCTCGGCATAGTACTGTCTACCAAGGATTGTGTCGAGTTTAAACCCAAGTCTTATCAACATGGCTGAAATTTAGCGCAATATCTGCTTCATAAAACTGGCTTTCTTCCTCGGTAGAGACTTCTCGGGGCTCAACTTATCCAAGAGTTTATGAAATATCGTGTCCACATTGAGATTAAACTTAGCCGAGGTAGCCAGCCACAAACATTTCCACCTTCCCTCTAGATAAACGCAGGCACTAATTTTAAGCCCGTACGAATTATGAAAAGTTGGTTCAGAGAGGTTCGGCAGGTCTGATTTGTTCGACACAATGATGACAGGTATTTTCCGGTTTCTGTCCTCACAACACCTCGTAATTTCCTCCATGTATCTTTCCAGCTTCGTAAAAGAGTAAGGTTTGTCTAGAGAATACACCAATACAATAGCATCAGCTTTTTCAATCGCTATCCTTCGCATGGCTGGGAACTCGTACGTACCCGATGTATCAATGATGTGAAGCTCGTAAGCTTTGTTCCTGTGAGTCATTTGTTTCACGTAGAATTCCTCTACAGTTGGTTCATGCTCGGCATTGTAGTCATCGCTAACGAGAAGCCGTCGAACAATTGAACTTTTTCCAACTCCAGAATCGCCAAACACACCAATGGTAAACTTCTTGAAGTACACTGTTGGCTCTGACGATTCATTCTCGTCTAATGTGTTTAGCATTCTTGCTTTTTCAAGGAATGCACTTTTCAAGGTGACTTCCAAAACCCCTGAACCAAGCCAGAATCGTTACGCTACTTTCAATAGCCGTCGACAGTCTATAGGTTAAACAAACACCGACGATGCAATTGACTGTAATGTTATACGTGGCCGATATAAACTTACATCATCAATACGAGAGCTCGATGAAATCTGACTTTGTGGTCTAACCGACAAGAGGGGTAAAGACAATAATAGCAGTCTAGTGGAAAAGCCTCTAAACTTGAGAAGTTATTCTGCGTGTTTTAAACTAAAGGTCTAAGTTGACAAATATTTTAGGAGATCAGTCTTCGGGAAAGTTTACAGGTTTTTATCTTTTCGTCACTGCTGTGCACTATTTTCACTGTCTTGTTAAATCCACTCGCATTCTTTTAGCTCGCCCTAAATTTTTAAGCTGACATTGATTTTTTCTATTCATCACCAATTTCACTCCGATTATATTCATTAATGTTATGTTCATAACCATGAACCATGTTTGACCAACTACGAAACACGCAAAAAATATAAAGAGAGTGGCATAGGATTAGAGATGGACTTGATAATAGGTCACCTTGTAAAACAAATAATTAAAGTTGATTTTTTCCATCCCTTGATCAGTTCGGTGGAGTCAGTTACAAGGTTACCAGTGCAGATAAAACTGAAATCATCAGTGTTTTAAAGAATGACCGGGTTAATTGTTTAGTTTTGTAGCTGTTTTTACAAGGACATGGCATTTTCAGTTTTATGCTTCAATCCACTGGAAAAGTTAATGATTCCTAAATTAGCGTGACTGGCGGAGAGTACTCTGTTCGGTTCTCCTATGGGCGTGTCGAGGCCCAGTTGTCACGAGGTTACAGCCATTTAGTTGGTTTTCCTTATCCAATAGTCCAAGTTGATTAAAACGGGCGATATATAATTACCTTGATGAATAGGAAATATAAATAATGGCTCTATTACTCCACCTTGAATGTATGTACGTGTATTACTATGCCTTCTTCTTGTTATAATGAAAATAATACTATGAGATTAGCACAGTTCAAAAGTGATCAAATTCCAGTAGGCTTTGCCCTGACTGATGCACCAAATCCAGGGCCGTTCAGTACTTATGGTTCCGCAGGGGATCCAAGTGTAATATAAGCTTTTGTACGGGTGATACCTGTAAACCCTTAAAAAACTTACAAAGAAGACTCGAGTAACGAGGCCTGGTGTCGTTCTGTGTCTTTCAAAGAGGTTTCAGCGCTATTTATAGTTGAGCGTATGGCAGCATCTGACCTAACAGTGTAAAAGATAATGGGCGGATTAAGAAGGGGCTGCACTACCTCCTCACCTTGTCTAGCTAGCATTGCATTATGATCGAATTTAACTGAAAATTCTTTTGGCCTTTTCTTTCTGAACTTCCCGAATCCGCCCTTAGTAATAAATCTATCATTACGTCGTGTAAGTTGTATTTCACCCGGAGCGTACTCCCTTATATGGCCTACGCGGGGATGTGCGACTGGATAGGGTATGGTTTTTTACTTTTCTGTCCTAAACAGGTTATATAATTTCGTGCGAGTCTGTTAAAAAGGTATATCCTGTAAGATTGATTTGATTTCCTAAAAGAATACAGTGATTATAACGTGAGTTTGCTCTATCGCATTTGCCAATACATGTAAATGGCTTTAAAAACAACACAGCGTGCATTTTGTCCTTTGTCCTAAACAGGGTAATAACATTGAGGGTGTTGCCCTAAACAAGGTATGTATTTTAGAGTTTTTTTTTTTCTCCAAGACAGGGTCAGGGTTTCAAATCCTCACCAGCTCACCTATACCCAAATACTGGTCTAGTACCCCTTCAGGTATTTCTTCAAGCTTAGCCTATCTGTGCTCACAAGGGGGACGAACTAAGGTTCCACTAAATAATAATAATAATAACATGCAATAGGAGACCAGCCTTGAAGATGATTCACACGTCCATGATACTGCCGTGCGTGCATAATAGGGCCCGTTTTTCGGTTAAGTTTAACCCAGGCGGCACTGAGCCAATTTTAAGGAAAGGTCTCTCCTCTAGTAACATTTAACCGTAGGTAAAAAGGAAATAGCTATCGAGGAGCGTTTACTTCGAGGTCCGGTTTTGAAAAACAAAAAAATCCTTTAAAAGTATTCATACGAAGGTAAATACATGATAGATTAACATTTTAATCCAGGATCAGCCCTAGTCAGTCGGCCTTTTAGCGGCAGGGCCCTGATTTCTTCAGTTTATCCACTATCTTTAATCTGGGGTCATTAGGCTGTTGCAATCCTGCTAAGCTCTTAGATTGCTCCAGAGAAATTTCGTCAAAAAAGAGGCCATTTCTGCTGGTTTGTGGGCATGTTACTCCATAACGGTCACTATCATGATGTTGACTTGCAATAACGTGTTTGACAGTGCAGATCTCCTAAATGAATGATGAATAAAAGCAATATCAGTTTCACAGGAAAAGTCAATCGCGTGTCGTTTCTATAGACTCGCTCTCAAGCTCCCGCGTTGAAAAGGAGACGGAGAACCTGTAGATCGTCACCGGCTCCTTCCGCATCGTTTGATGTGGGTTGGAAATGGCTAGTCTTTCAACATGTGAATGTTTGAAACGCAGGAAATTTTTCTTGAATATTGCTTAAGGAAAGTAGGAATATGCTATCTTTAGTGGCAAAGAACTTGCTGTATATACACAGTATGTGAGCATTCTAATTAGCATTAATTACAGTAGAGTAGTCCAAGGTTAATTTTTGCCCCGGAATTAAAAACATCACGACCTTGAATCATGTAATATTGTTCGAGAATAAGAAAACGGATTTCCTGTGGATCTATCAACTGTGAAGTGTTACAAATTAAGTAAGTGATTATAATGAGCTCCATCCCGCGGCTTCTTGGTTGAAGTCAAAGTTGACGATTGATTTACTAGGCTATAGCCATTACGAAATGGGTGTTACATTTTTTTTGTTACTATTTTATCGCTATGCGAAGTTTAGACGTGAGGTTATTTTTACAGCTGCAGTCGCAAACATGTTTCATATGTTTCTTCACTGAAGAGTTATCAACGCACATCTTTTATTACGTTTGCTTTTTTCTTTTTCAAGTTTTACCGCTATGATTGCCCCCGCTTAATGAAACATCAGTTACACTTTAAAATTCTTAGTCATGCCACCGCTGGAAAAAGAAGTTGCTAACCTGAACTGTCATACGCCTCCACCCACTGACCCACGGGGGGCGCGGGGGACAGAGAGACTCTCTCTCTCTCTCCCCCCCCCCCCCCCCCCCCCGGGGGGGGGGGGTGGGGGGGCTTGGCATTTCCCCCCTTCTTTCCCGCAAAAAGAAGAAAAGGGGGTTGTTTTTCCCCTGCTTTTTTTTTGTTATAGTAT